TCCAGAATTATCAAAGCATCACTCAAAACAAAGAAGGAGGGGATCAAAATGAATGTTATCCAATGTTCTGCACCACCAATGATAGCAACGACGATGATAAAGATCAGCTCTATGAAATGCTGCAATCAATTATAGGACCTCACAATCCTGATGGGAGATCTAAACGCTTAAGTTGGAGTGGACAACACAGGATATGAAGATGTAATTGGACGACATGGATTAGGAGAGAGAAATGAAAATGGGGAGAGGCTTGCAAACCTATGTACATTCAACAAATTGGTTATAGGAGGCACAATATTCCCCACACAAGCGCATACACAAATCTACATGGATCTCACTGGACCACACCACAGAGAACCAGATAGATCACATCTGTATCAACAAAAAATTCCGAAGATCAATGGAAGATGTGAGAACCCGGAGAGGAGCTGACATAGCTTCAGATCACCACCTGGTTGTGGCCAAGATGAGACTGAAGCTAAAGAAACACTGGACAACTGGACAAACAGCACTACAGAGGTTCAATACAGCCTTCCTTCGAGATACCGACAAGCTCCATGAATTCAAGATAACTCTCAACAACAGGTTCCAGGCTCTACAGGATCTACTGAAAGAACAAGGAACTACTTTGTAGGACAACTGGAAAGGGATAAAAGAAGCCCTAACTTGAACAACCAGTTGAGTAGAACTCATCACTATACGTCAACTTCATTGATTTTGAGAAGACGTTTGACAGCATGGATAGGAGAACATTATGGAAACTTCTTCGACACTATGGAGTTCCTGAAAAGATTTTCAACATTATCCAAAACTCATACGATGGACTACAGTGCAAAGTGGTGCATGGAGGACAGCTGACAGATGCATTTCCAGTAAGGACCGGAGTCAGACAAGGCTGTCTACTCTCCCCATTCCTCTTCCTTCTAGTGATTGACTGGATTATGAAGAATTCGACATCTGAAGGGAAATACGGAATACAATGGACTTCTCAGAATCAATTAGATGATTTGGACTTCGCAGATGACCTAGCCCTCCTCTCTCATACACACGAACAAATGCAGATGAAGACAGCAAATGTAGCAGCAGCCTCTGCATCGATAGGCCTCCATATTCACACAGGAAAAAGCAAGATTCTCAAATTCAACACGGAGAATACCAACCCAATCACAATTGATGGCGAAACCCTGGAAAATGTGGAAACATTCAAGTACCTGGGGAGCATCGTTGATAAACAAGGAGGATCGGATGCAGATGTAAAGGCGAGGATTGACAAAGCAAGGACAGAATTTCTACAATTGAAGAACATATGGAACTCAAAACAACTCTCAACAAATTTCAAGGTCAGAATCTTTAATACGAACGTCAAGACAGTCCTACTGTATGGAGCTGAAACGTAAAGAACTACTACGGCCATCATCAGGAAGGTGCAAGTATTTATAAACAGTTGTCTACGCAAAATACTCAACATCCATTGGCCGGATACTGTCAGCAACAGCGTTTTATGGTAGAGGACAAACCAGCTTCCAGCTGAAGAGGAAATTAGGAAAAGACGTTGGAAGTGAACGGACATGCATTAAGGAAATCACCAATGTGCATCACGACTCAATCCCTAACTGGGAATCCGGAAGGGAAGCGGAAAAGAGGAAGGCCAAAAAACACACTACGCCGGGAAATAGAAGCCGATATGAAAAGGATGAATAGCAACTGGAAAGAACTAGAAAGGAAGGCTCAAGACAGAGTTGGATGGAGAATGCTGGTGAGCGGCCTATGCTCCTCGACGAGGGGTAACAGGCGTAAGTAAGTAAGTAAGTTTAAAGCCGAAACTAGGACCATCTCTATGGTTTTCTTTATATCCGAAAAGCAACAAACAATGCAGATTTTATGGACTACCAAAAATACACAAAACAGATGTCCCAATAAGACCTATTGTTTATTATACCAGTTCATCTATCTACAATCTTTCTAGATACCTAGCTAAGATTCTAAAACCATATGAAAGCTTAATCAAACACGGAATAAAAAATTCTAATGATTTTAAAGATGTTATCTCTAATATTCACATAGAAGAAGATGAAATAATGGCAAGTTTTGATGTTTGCTCATTATTCACTAATGTTCTAATTAAGAAAACATTAGGTATTATATATAATCCCTTAGATTCTGACACTGATCTCAAACAGCGCTGTCCTCTAGTTACCTCGGATATTATTAAAGCGTTAGATCTATGTTTACATCCAACTATATTCAGTTTTCGAGGGGATTTATACAGACAGACAGAAGGTGTAGCTATGAGATCACCGGTTTCCCCAATTGTTGCTAACCTCTTTATGCATTCATTGGAAACTCGCACAATCTCAATGTGTTCTCAGACACCAAACGTATGGCTAAGATATGTAGATGACACTTTTGTCATTATAAAACGAGACCATTTGGACGAACTGTTTAAACTTGTCAACAACTTTGATGGAAAAATCAAGTTCACCAAAGAGTTGGAATCTCCTGAACACAAATTACCTTTCTTAGACTGCTTATTTGAAAGGAAAGATAATAATAGCTTAAAAATTAGTATATTCCAAAAGCCGACAAATTCAGGAAAATATCTAGATTTTAAATCGGCACATCCACACTCGACCAAAGTGACAGTGGTCAAAAATATGATTACAAGAGCTCAAAAACTTGTCACTGAACCAAACGATATGGAAATGGAAATAAATTTAATTACATCTACCTTAATTAAGAACAATTATCCAAAAGATTTTATTAAAAGAATAATTAAGAATGAAAGAAAAGACGACATTATTAATACAAAAAGATTACAGAAAAAAGAATGGGTTAACACAGTAGTGATCCCATATCGGAAAGGAATTTCGGAAGATATTCGAAGAATCTTAAATAATCAAAATATAAGAGTATTTTTTTGAACAAACAATACTCTAAGATCTAAATTAGTAAGAATTAAAGATCCGATTTACAAAGAAGAACAACAAAATTGTGTCTATGAAATCAGATGTGGTGACTGTAATGCAACGTATGTAGGTGAAACATCAAGACAACTGAATGTGAGGGTGAAGGAACACAAACAATGTTTGAAACACATTCCCAAATCCTCAGATGATGTAAGGAAGCTTGAGAACAAATCAGCAATAGCATTACACTCGATAGAATCAGGTCATACAATTGATTTCGTTCACACAAAAATCCTTCAAAACGATTTCAATTCTTACAAGGAAAGGCAAACAGCTGAAGCCCTATACATTTGGGCTAATCCAAACAATATTAATAGGAGGGATGGGATACAACTAGCATTGCCATGGCAGTTAATCATTAATAAGTAAAAACCTGAGCTCCTTAACGTTTTTTATCTATCTAAATGACAACAATTGCATTCAATGATTCTAATCAGTTGTCTTATCGGAATTTGTTAAACAATTCACTGCAACATTAAAAATGACACATACATACATTTTAAAAATTACACTCTTCAAATTTCATTCTTTTATTTTTATTTTTGTTTAATTATCTTCATTTTATACATGCTGCGACAGATATAATTCATATCACATTTTACAAATTTTATGTTACCTTAAAAATTCAACGATAAGAGACAATATATATTATGAATGTAATTTCTCCTCTCACCACTTACGTATTCTATACAATATGTTATATTAACGCTTATCATTTCACATCGCACATCTCTTACACACCAATACACATACCTAGTTTAGACATTGTTAACGTTGATTGGATGACCTATTCAGTGTACAATGAACCCGGAGAACCATGTACCTATTTATATTCGATTATAATTCCTTGAAAAAGCTTGGACCAGATTGCCAGACGAAACGTTGGATTTACTACAAATTCATTCGCTGAGATTTTACAAATATATTATTCCTATTTAATGAGTCTGATCTATTTTCCGAAATATGATTCAGTGACTCATATATCTAACCAGAAAAGGTGGAATTAACAACTCAGTACAAAATATTATCACATGAAGTCGATATTTAGCAATTAAAACCCTAAATAAAGCTAATATCTTCACTGTTCATTCATTTCTAATATAAAAGTTGAATAAAATAGTGAAAATCAGCTGAAATTAAAATAACGAAGGCAAAAACAGAAAACCTCGTAATGACATCGTTGCTTGTTGCGCATTTACGGTAGCCTTAGTAACAATACTGTTTTATGACGAAATATGCTTCATTCACGTTACTTCAGACAGAATTAAATCATCAGTCCAATTTTAGTATATGTCTGGGTGAAAACTGATCTTTTCCTGAGACAAAATTACAAAAACTGTCCTAGCAAAAAGTAAAATCCCTTTTCCACTTAATTTTATAACCAGGAAATGACCTCTCAAATTTGTTTGGAATTAATTTAGAATGTTAACTGCGCATAAAGCGGAAATAAGAAAATAGCACGAAACTGTGTCACGATGCCACTGGATCGCTGACGGATGAAAAGCTTCATTCACGATAAATTTACATCCACGAGCGGCTTTGTTCGATGCTGCATTTCACGTCGAGAGATAACCGATTATTGCGGACAGATCTTTAACACATAGGTGAGAATGGTTTTTCATGATTGTTGAGGTGTTCTGATACTGGTTTGCGGTAAACTGAAAACACTGATTGCAGTACCATAATTTCTTATCTTTTGCTGCTACCTACAACTAACCGTCTGAGTAGGCATTCTAGGGAGTTCAGAAGATGGGGATAAAGTTCCATGAATGGATGAAGTTCCATACTTCGAAACGAGTAGTGAATTACTGGAATTCTCTATCCGAACGCGTAACATAGCACTTTCTGGTGACTTCCTCACAGCACCACGCCTTTCAAGAACTAAAATAGTCTACCGAACTTCTATTCGTACTACTGAAGACTGACTACTTTTAAATGCGACATTATTGTTACGTTTACCATTATTTTAACAGTATCCTATTTTATGAAGTATTCATCATGTTTTATTCCGTAATTTGTCTTGCAGTGCAGTTAATGGCGCAAGTTAATCCATCACTCAAAGACATTTCTCTAAATACAAGGTACTTGCCGAGGTATTACGACAGAGTTCCTTGATTATCCGATTATCCGCATTTTCAATCATGTCTACTCGAATATCTATGACAGTATTACTGTCATTGCTTTATGTGTTTAGTTATCAAACCATACAGTGTAGAGTTCACTATTTTGCGTATAATGACACCAATGAAGCTGCTTATTTATTACGCACATACAACTTACTCCATCTGGTTTATTTAACTCATCCTTCGTCTAACCGTAAACTTTCTCAAAACGAATAATAGTTAGTGTTGTTACCACCGTTTTCAAAACAACCAGTGATAATTACTATGTATTGTGTTGTAATTCAACCAGTAATAGTTTAGATTTTCAATCACGATGGCTAGTCAAAATACTCTTTGTGACAAATATTTTTTCAACCTTTTTATAACTGTAGCAATAGGAACAAGCAGGCTGCTTGTGTGTTGGTAAAGAGGTTTCAACTACCGCTGGGTATTGTAACTAGTTGTGCTAAGACTTCTCAATTGCATCTATTTGTGGGATGAGATACAAGTGAAACCCATGTTAAAACTCATCTGCTTAGGTTATTATTTTCGTGACACCTGTTTTCTAGCGGTCATTCGGCTTACATGACCTAGTGAACTAATGACATGCTCAAAGCTAATTATTAAGCCTATTATACGGGCCATTTCTATGAAAACAGTTGAGTTTCTCCCAGAATTATGAACCTTCGCTATGTTCACAATCGTACTAGTATATGATGAGAGGTTTGCACCATATAAAACACCATTTAACCAAGTCGCCTTCTTTCAAAAGCCATTTAATTTACAGGCTGCATTCAAGTATTATGTCACACATATAGGCTACTTCGTCATAAACAAAAATCCTATTAAGTAGCAGCATCGTTCGCGGTCTAATATACTACAGACCATAAAGTAGTGTAGCTGTAAATAATTCCCCAAAATCAATAGCTCTTTAAGTGTTCGACATTGGATGTTGACCACATTGTTTTAAGTGGACTCGTTTGACTGGAGGCTTTCGGTCATGCATCCGTACCAGATCACGTTACGATCCAGCGTGGGACACAGCTCCTACGTTCACTAGCCAGATTAGAGTAAACGCTTCCCGATATATTGATAACGAATCAAATATATCTTTCCAATCTCTTCGCATCTGACTTCTGCTTTTAACTTATTGTGGGACGATTCGAACAAAGAAGGTGTTGCTGCTTTATAATCGTAAAACTACAATACCGGTCGTATTTTCAGTAGATTTTCCCATCACAGCTCTCCGTTTTTGCTTACCGACGAAGATTTTCACATTGTTCAGCATTCAGAAATTACGCTTCTAGCCAGGTCAGTACTTTATTAAGGCTATCAATTAGTGATCCCACTTGTACAAATGGACCTACCAATGAAATTAGAAAAGATAATTAGGGTTTTTAATGTACTTACTTGTTCAAGTGACGATATCTAATAATATGTACTTGAAATTGATTACCTAGTAGCGAACAGTGTTGTTTATCCCTCAGTAAACTAGAAAGATCCATGTACAATCCCTCATCAAGACTTGCAATAGAAGATGGGCAAATAGACATATTAATCGTCAAACGTTTGGTATTTTCTTAATGTGAAACCATAAATTGAATTGATTATTTTTAAAAACAGAAACCTTCAGATACTGTTTTTCTAAGAAACGGTGTAACAATGAAATCCATAATTTGAAATTGTCGAAAATTGCAATCTATAATACCATTGGATAAAAGTTTAATAGAGAGTCGGGATAAAATGGACGATCGTCATCAGTTGTATGTCTGTTTTTGAAATACGTGAGGCTGATAATATTAAACAGCATTCTATGATGTCTACAGAGGGAGAATATGTAAGATGACAATTACTTACTTCGGAGCTGCATCAGTTTGCATTTAATAAATAGTTTGTGAACATCAATGTCCATCCTCACGATAAATCATATTTAGGATTTATTTAGCCCTTAGATGTAATAACCTAGTAAAAATTTCAACAATACTCAGAAGTGAGCTCGAAAAAGTGTCTTCATTGCTTTGATGTTTAGCTAACCTGCTGAACGCAAAAATAGATATTCAAAAGGCTCAAGGATTGAGAGAAGAAACGCGTAACTGCCAGTGATTATTGTAAAACGAAAATTTAAGGCATTTCCCTGAAATATCTTTGTGCCAGACCTTTGAATTCTACGAACAGCACGGAAATAAGACTCCTTAAAACACCTCTTAAACACTTTATACATACTGAAACAATCCCAAACCCTGCTTTCTGTCTATGCTCTCTGTACATATAAAACTATTTGTTCAATTTTACAATTTTCCAAAGGTCACGTGCCAAATTTGTTTCAGGTTTTCCAGTCAAGGTCGAGTGAGTTCTTCGTTATCAGACTTCACTACCGAATTTCACTGTCTTTAAAAAGTGAATTTAGGGCATTTTTTATTTTCATGTGTCTTATCTAATCTTCTTAAAGCGATAACTCAATAAACTCATGACTCGTACTTCAGTTCCGTCTCTTTGTAGCCACCATTAGTAGTTTCATGGGACAACTCCCATACATGGAAGTATAAATATTTGCTCTTTTCTCTTTTTTTTCTTATTGATCTAAGACAGTCTAGTTTAAACTGTTCATATACTGGAAACAAGGGTCTTTCTACTTTGGTTTTTCGGTCCACGTAAAAATTGATTTATTCAAATCCAATATCTATTTATTGAATGCAGTACACACTGCAGTTCTTTAAGTGTATTGATTTGCGTGCACTACCAGTCACCTATGCTAAAAAGTAGCCGCAACGTTCTCCACTTCACTTATCAGTATGCTTTGATACGTTTTTCGTCTGTAGACTAACATCTAATGTTAGCGTATTGCACCGTCCCCGTTCTGTTTTTCGTTGGACGTTCTTATTCGGTGATGTAAGTCAGTGATAAAGTAAACGCTGAGTTTTCAGTTTGCGAACGCCAAGGTTCTCACCATATATCGGGAATCAGCCACGTATTTTTCGAAAAACCTCGGAATTCCTTCGCTGAGTACCTTTTTAACTTCTCTTCCGGCTGGTTAGGAATTCATGATGGTAAAATGCATCTGATACTAATTAAACGAGACCTATGTTATCTATGAGCTGCTGTGACTGGAAACATGACCCAACTATAGTTTTTATTGCAAAATTAGTTTTTCATGACTTCGAGAAATGCGCTCCAAAAACTCACTTTCCGGTCCATTATTTAGTTTCAGTTTCAGTTTCAGTTTGGAAAGGACAGGAGGCTTGATGGCTTGTGTTAGTCCTGGCAATGATGGTCTCTCAGCTGATCCAACTTTCTTTTGAAGGAGTCGGCGGATGGAGCCTCAACCACGTGCTGAGGTAATGAATTCCACTCGTTGATTATTCGATGGGAAAGTCGGTAGTCAGCTGACAAGTAATTCGTTCTGGGCTTGTGAACTTTTTTGGAGTGTCCTCGTAGATTTTCTGTTTTGGAAGACAAGAAAAATGAGGGCATATCAGGTGCAAATTTGTCATTTAGCAATTTGAAAACTATAATCAAGTCACCTCTGATTCTTCTATATGACAGCGGGAATAGGTTTAGCTTGGTCAGTCTAGTACCATACGGGAGCTCCGCTATTCCGGGAATCAGCCTAGTTGCTGTTCTCTGAACCCTTTCCAAGAGTTCACTGTCTTTTTTTAGGCAGGGGTTAGCTGCTTGTATACAGTACTCAAGTTTAGGGCGTACGAACACTGTATACAAAGTCAAAAACGTTTTAGCGTCAAGATGCCTAAAAGCCCTGCGTATGGACCATAAAGTCCTAAAACCTTTGGCGGCTATTGCACGGCAGTGTGCAGTAGTCTTTAAGTCTTGACTGACGATGACGCCTAAGTCGTTGTGTGCCTGAACAATAGGTAACTCAGTGTTATTCATCGTGTATGTATCTGTACCCTGATGGCCAATATGCATCACAATACACTTGGAAGTGTTTATCGGCAATTGCCAGGTTTGGGACCATTCAGATAATCTCTCCAGGTCATTTTGAAGTTCTAAGCTATCGCCCTTGCTTTGTATCGCTCTCCATATCTTGACATCATCAGCATATATTAAGACCGATGACGATAGTAGACGAGGGAGATCATTTACGTACAGGAGGAATAACACTGGCCCCAAAACTGTACCCTGGGGGACTCCACTAAGCACAGTTTCCCAGCTAGACAACTTGGAGTTCACCCTTACTCTTTGTTGACGCCCAACTAGGAAGTCTTTTATCCACATCAATAGATTGCCTCCAATCCCGACATTCCTTAGCTTATATAACAGCCGGTTATGCGGAACTTTGTCGAAAGCTTTGCTGAAATCGATGTAAGCTACGTCTATAGGTAATTTTTGGTCCTTAAGAGCGCACCAGCTTTCACGAGCGACTAATAAGTTTGTGAGACAAGAGTAACCTGTTCTAAAACCATGCTGCTTCTTCGAGAGGATCCGGTTTTCATCGAGATATTTTAACAGCTCCTTCCGAGTAATCTTTTCTAAGATTTTAACAACCACACTAGTTAGGCTAATTGACCGGTAATTCTCAGGCTTATTTTTTGTACCTGTTTTGAAGACTGGACTTACTATGGCGTTCTTCCAATCTTTTGGTAGACGACCCTGGGTTACGGATAGATTAAAACATACACTTAAAGGGTTCGCAACAAAGTTAGCTAATTCTTTTAATAACCTAGGATGCAGTTCATCGGGTCCAGTGGATTTACCTATGTCAAGCTTAACTAGCAGACCAAAGACATCGAGTTCTTTAATGGTTGCGCTGTCCAGTGCTTGTGTGGGTGGATTTTCATGGACTGGTGAGAAGGGTGTTTCTATGGTGTATACATCGCTAAAGTATTTAGAGAATACTTGAGCTTTGCCAAAGTCATCCTCCACTAGTGATGTGGCAGTACTGTCTCCCCATAGTGAAGGAACATTTTTTCTTCTTTTTGTCCTTTGGTTTATATACGAATACAAGCGTTTAGGGCATTCTATGGATTCCCTAACGATTTTCTCTTCGTACAGCTTTCTGGCCTTACGGAGGGTCGAGGCACAGGTATTTCGAGCCCTTTGATACTGAGATTTCGCCTCGTCAGTCCCCAGTAACCTAAATCTGTCCCACATTTTCCTTCTTTTACGGAGAAGGATGCGAACCTCCCTACTGAACCACGGTGGGGAGTTTCTCGGTCTCTTAGGTGTAGTCCAAGGGATGTGGGGGGTGGTAACTTTTCAGTATAAATTCCGGAATACGTCCCAAGCCGTTTCGATTGATGACTCTGGATCTAATTTCCAATCTACTAATGATGCTGATTTCATGATGTCTGCTATGTTTGCTTTCCAGACGTTAGGTCTGGATTGAGCTGAAGCGTACTCGTGATCGCTAGTTATATGGAAGTCAAAGCTTAAAACTGCATGATCACTTTTGCCTAGGAGTGGCATGTAATCCAGGTTTGCAACATCATCCTCATAATGAGTCAATATAAGATCTAGTAAGGATGATGCAGAACCCGGGTCGTACCTAGTTGCTTCCTTCACGTGTTGCACTAGAGCACATGTGATTATCGCATCAACTAGTTCCTGTTCGAAGGAGTTTGCTGACGATTCAGTCCGCAGATTTCCCCAGTCCACCATGGGTGCATTAAAGTCCCCTAGGATTAGACATCGACCACTTCGTGATAAAGTGTTGAGACTGCTTAGCAGGACCTCGTTTGCCTCACAGCTTGGACTGCGATAGATCAAACTAAGTAGCAACTCTTGTCCCCTGCATTTCAGGCGGCAGCAAACTAATTCATACGTCCCACTCTCATGGGATACACTGTCGATAATGGTGAATGGAATAGCATTCCTAATGAATAGAGCTACTCCCCCTCCTTTACGCGTTTGTATTCTATCGGCCCTTACCAATGTAAAACCCTCGAAATCAAGTTCCCTACTATCTATAGACGGCGTCAGCCATGTTTCTGTGACTGCGATTATGTCTGGCCTAGTTGAGTCAATCTGTACACCTAGTTCCGGTAGCTTATTTAGTAAGCTCCGGGCGTTGGTATAACAGATCCGAAGAGCTGACTTCTGTCGTTGCACTGCTGGTCTTGTGTGACTTGTTTCAAGTTGTCCTTTGGGCACTACGTCACACTCTCAGGTCACTAAGAGCACTTCTAATCCAATTTCCTCTTTAGGTATTTCTGGAAGAACCCTTCCACACTGTGAGGGACCAAGAAGTGATAACCGCCCTCAGTCTTCAGTAATAAGGATAGTAGGTTGATGAACCTGTGTTAATCCTGACAGATTTCCTTCCAGTGAAGGTCCAGCTTCTTTTTGAAAATGTTCACTGATGGTGCTGATACCACTTGTTCTGGTAAAGCGTTCCAGTCATTGACCACTCGATGAGAAAAACGGGACCCCACCTTTAGTTTATTAGATCGCGGTTTCAGAACCTTCTTGCTATGACCCCGGAGATTATTAGTGCTGGAGGGAGCAAAAAGATAAGACATATTAACACCCAGATCATAATTAAAGATACGAAATGCCAGTATAAGGTCACCTCGCGTCCTACGATAAGATAAGGGGAAAAGGTTTGGACGTTTTAAACGCTCATCGTAAGGGAGTTTAGAAAGACCCTTTACTAATTTTGTCCTTACACGCTGGACACGCTCAAGCGATTTAGTATCCTTTATCAGACAAGGGCTAGCTGCTTGGATACAGTATTCTAAGTGTGGCCTTACATAGGTGGGATATAAAATTCGAAACATATCCTCGTCAAAGCATTTAAATGCTCTGCGAAGCGACCATAGCGCGCGATAGCCTTTGGAAGCAACCGCATTGCAGTGCGTAGTAGTTTTTAAGTCGTGACTTATAATTACTCCTAAGTCTTTGTGCTCATGAACGCGTGGCAGAGATGTACCATTAATGGTATAGTGGTAACTAATATCGTGCCCGATGTGCATGAACACGCTCTTCCTGGAATTAACTTCCAGGCCCCAATCATGAGCCCACCTAACTAATTCGTCTAAATCTGCTTGCAGATAACAACGATCAGTCTCATTTCTTATTGTTCTCCAGATTTTAACATCATCCGCAAACAATAACGTCGACGACTTAAGTAATAAAGGTAGTTCATTAATATACAGAAGGAAAAGTAAAGGGCCTAAGATGGTGCCTTGGGGTACACCACTTTTGACCGATTTCCATTCGGATAGAGTTCCATCGACCCTCACTCTCTGTCTGCGGTCACATAAGAAGCTTCCTATCCATTCCTGTATAGCACCTGTTATACCAAAGCTCGAGAGCTTTTGCATAAGACCTAAGTGTGAAACCTTATCAAACGCTTTGCTAAAATCTATGAATATCACGTCGACAGACTG